TGATCTTAGAAGAAAAGTTTTCAGGCTTTTCCACTGAGTATGAAGTTAGCTGTGGGTTTTTCATAAATACCCTTTATCATGTTGAGCAAGTTCTCTTCTGTATTAGTCCGTTTTGTGTTGCTATAACAGAATACCTGAGACTGGGTAATTTATAAAGAAAATGACACTTACTGCTTACAATTTCTCAGGCTGGGGAATCCAAAGTCCATCTGGTGGTGGTGACAGTTGGGTAACTGTGTCTCACATTGGAAAATGGTGGAAGGAGAGAGAGAGAGACAGACAGACAGACAGACAGACAGACTCTTCTCTTCTTTTAAAGCCCTCAGAACTACACCCGTGCCCACTATTTTTAATCCATTCACTACAGCACGGTCTTACAATCCAATCACCTCTTTAAGGCTCCACCTTTCGATTACCATAATAGGATTTCTCACCTTCAACAGTCACAGTAGGGATTAAGCTTCTAATATATGAAACTTGGGGCACAATTGAAGCTTCAGTGAGTTTTGGGGGGACATAATCCAATCCACTACACCTTCTATTCCTAATATTATGATTGTTTCTAACATGAAGGGTGTTGGATTTTATAATATGCCTCTCCCATGTCAGCTGAGGTGCTTGTGTATTTTTCTGCCCTTTGTTCAATTATGAGGCTTATTACATTAATTTTCTTTCTTTCTTTTTTTTTTTTTTAAAAGATGACCGGTAAGGGGATCTTAACCCATGACTTGGTGTTGTCAGCACCACGCTCAGCCAGTGAGCGAACCGGCCATCCCTATGTGGGATCCGAACCTGGGGCCTTGGTGTTATCAGCACCTCACTCTCCCGAGTGAGCCACAGGCCGGCCCTACATTAATTTTCTTAAATGGAGCCACGCTTGCACCCTGCGATAAATTCCACTTGGTCACAGTGCATAGATCTTTCAATATGCTGTTGAATTTGACGTGCCAGTTTTTATTAACGGTTTTGCAACAATATTCATAAGGAATATTGTTCTGTAGTTTTCTTTTATAATGATGTCTTTATCTGGCTTTGGTATCAGGATCATGCTATCCTCAGAATGAGCTATGAAGTGTTACTGTCTCTTTGTCACCTCTCTTCCCCTGGGTGATGGAGATGCAAAGGATTGCTCAAAGCCCGTTTTTTCTGAGCAGTGAGAAGCCCTGAAGGGGTTAATTTTCCAGGAACCCTCAAGAGAGAGGCATTCCTCCTTGGAAAAATAATACCCGACTGGGATCTTTTCCCAGTATTTATTCTCCAGGCCAGAAAGTTACAGAAAAGGAACATAGGTGGAGTCATGGCTAAGAATAGTTTAACAATAGATGCTGGTAACATCAGTGAGATAACAAAGTGACATTCCATGATGCAATTGGCAAAAGGTTAAGTCAATCCACCAACAAAAGCTTGTTCTTAGCAAATACTGTCTTTTACTACAGCAATTTCCTCAGTATGTTTACGTAACAATTAAGTAACTTTAAGTTAACCTGCATCAAGGACGTCTGTCCTTGAGCCAGCAATTTGCTGTGTTACAATTCTTTATCTACAACAGAAACTTTAGCCTGGGGAAAGTTTTCTGTCTTTTGCAAGCTTAACATTTCTATATGTAATTTTTAAAAAGTTTGGTTAAACCTGAAACTACAGGGCTTTGGAAGCTAGGCCCTGTGAAACACATTTGCTTTAGAAATGTTAGTACACTCCACAATGAAGCTAGTTGAAGTTTCCTCTTCAACTTTCTGGAAAACTTTGAGAAAGATTGGTGTTAATTCTTCTTGAATGTTTGGTAGATTTCACCAGTGAAACCATCAGGATGTGGTATTTTCCTTGTGGGAGGTTTATTATTATTGTGTCAATCTCTCCATATAGATCTGCTGAGATTTCTGTATCTACTTGAGTTAGTTTAGGTAATTGATGTGTTTCTGGGAATATGTCCACTGTCCTGGCATCAGGACACAGAAGGAGCCCCTCTGGGCAGGGTCCTCTCTGACCCCACGTGAGTGAAACTGACAGTGGGTGGAGTGGGGGGACTGACACTGGCCAGTGCCATGGATAGAATTAAGGGGGTGGGAAGGGCAGCAGTGGAGCGCAGGGAAGGTTGGGGGCACAGAAGCCATAGTGGGAATTGTGGGCAGCACACGCTTGTCAAGGGCGCCACATGACAGCCCCTGGTCCCCGACCACCTGTCTGGGGCCTGCGCAGGCATTGTCCCTCTCGGGCCTTGTAGGTCTCTGGTCAAAGGGGACGGGGACAGCACTCCCACAGGCCACGGGGGCAGCGCAGCGAGCCAAGGCCTTCGAAGCAGCAGGCAAGTGCTGCAGAGTGTCCTGTTGCTGCTGTTCCGGGAGCCCGGCACGGGGACAGTCCCCTCTCACTCTGCTGTCGGCCCGACAGGGTGGCTCGGGAAAGGGGGGAGGCCGGACCGCCAGCCGTCTGCCTCCACGGCTGTAGCCGCAGGAAGGCCCGAGCCCTGCTCCCCGTCCTCAGACCCTCCCCTCCCAGGCATTAAGAATGGCCCTGCCCAGGACGTCACTGCACACCATGGGGGGGTCATCCGCCTAACTCAGCTCTGGCCGCCAGTTTTTAAACTTTGATCTTGAAATCAAAGCTTAATGAAGACGGAGCGTGACGGTCTGTCCACACGGAAACCCTTTCAGACCCGACGCCGGTGTCACCGCACTCCGCGGGCCCGCCCCGGCCAGCGCTCGGCGGACGGGCCGAGACCGGAAGTCTGCGCGGCAGGTGCGCGGCGCGCACAGGTGAGCTGGCGTCGAGCTGGCCGCAGCGCTGCCGCCCTGCCGGAGGACGTGGGGTGGCGACGCGCGGAGCTCACGGCGTGCCCGCGCTCTGCCCTGACCCCGTGGCCGGCTCTCCGATCTGTCTGCGCGACGTGAGCATCTGTGTTCCCGGGAGCCCGTCTCTCTGCGTGTCTTTCCACGCGGACATGTACCTGCTGCGGGAAGAGGGGACGGGGTCACGGCGGCTGGAGACCGCGGCGGAAGCAACAGCCGGGCCCCTCCCTCCGGCTGCCAGCGGTCGCGAGCGCAGCGCGCATGCGCCCTTTGAGGACCGCCCTCGGAGGATACCGCGCCTGCGCCGAGCGTTCATGGCCCGCCCATCCGCGAAGCCGAGCGCGGGCCGTGGCCTCCACCTGTCCCGCCCCCTGCCCGAGCGCCTCGCGTGGTTGCTGCTGCCGCCGCCTGGCTGGGTCCGCCGGACGTCTCCGGGGAGCGCCCCGGGGGAAGCACTCACGGGGCGCGGCAGCACCTGCGGCCGCGGGGTCTCCGCCTCCACCGTGCGGACCCCGCCCGGCTCGCCCGAGTCTGCCCCGGAAGACCCGCAGGGCCCCCGAGCATCCCTCCCGCACGGTTGTGTGGCCCGAAAAGACACCCAGGGCCGGGCGCTGCAGAATCAGCGAATGCACTGAGGCATGGCAGAAGACTGCGACTCGGGCACGCGAGCGGGCGCGGGCCACAGGCACATCCCGGGGTCGGGGACGCGGGGTCTTCTTCCACCTAAGCTGCTCCGAAAGCAAGGGCTCTGCAGGGGCTGGCGGGAGCCGACCCTGCCAGCGCTCGTCTGGAAGACTGCGGGCCGGAGAGCTCGCGTGTAGTCCGGCTACGCGCACGTGCGTGCCAGGGCTCCTGGTTCACGGTCTCCCCGCGGCTCTCGGTCACCAGCGAAACGGTGGCATCTGAAGGATGCAGTGCAGGAAGGCGAGTCACCAACTGTCAGCGCTGAGGGCGCAGACGCCCACCCCTGCCAGGCCCCCGAGACGCCGGAGAGGAGCTGGACGCGAGCACGAGAGGATTCCTGGGCACCCCGGAGTGGTCCCCGGCTTCCTGTGTGGACGTTGGCGGGCACCAGCCCCCGGACACACAGTCGTGGACACCTGGTCTCTGTCCCCACCACTGTGCGCTGGTCAAAAACTGCCCTCGCCGCGGTGGCGGTCAACTGCAGCATCTTATCTACCGCAGATGGCCCATACAAAGTCACACAGAAAACCAAGAAGTCAACTGTCTTTTAAAACTCAGTTGTCCCACTGGTGGACGCCTGGGTTAGGGATGGTGGGGCGTGTGATCTTTTTGTTTTTGGCACAGGGGTGCATCTCAATTGCCGGGGTGGGTGCACTCATCACTACATGTGGTGACTTCACATAGGACCAGTGTCACATGTCACATTCTGGAGTTTGATATCGGCCTGTCATCATGTGAGATGCAACCACGGGGGGAAACTGGGTGAAATGTTTACAGGAACAGTAAAGGCTTTCTCTGCAACTTTTTGTGAAATATAATTATCTAATAACTTTTTTAAAAAGTGAGCTGTTTCAAGAATTTACCCAACTAATGGCACTGTGTGGCAAACAGGTTGCTAACTGTTCCACTTATGGCCTGAGGAGTGGCTGTGGGCAGGACCCTGGCTGGGGCCTCTGCTTGCCTGTGGAGCAGCTCAGAGAAGGGCCCTAAGGCATGAGGTTTGCAGCGAGCAGACTGGCAGAGCCTGGGTGGAAGCAGAAGTCACCCTCTGGCTTCATTCCCAACGGAGGCAAGTGTGGGCCTGAACGCCGTTCTGCCAAGTCACTGTGTGCCTCTGTACAATCAGGTGCATCCGAACCCAGCCTTGCAGATAACACCCCTCCCCTGAGGAAGCATATGGGGATGAGTGGAGCCCCTCTAGTCCGGGGCTGGGGGCTGTGGTAGAGGGGACACGACGACTTGGCAGCAGACTGCATTTCAATGCTGCTCTTCACTTTAGCAGGTAGGAACGCAGGTGCCAATCAACAGAAGCTCTGTGCTCTAGAGCAGCAACGCGGGGGAAGCGACCGGGGACTGGCTGGTCCGCCCCAGCTTCATGGGAGTGCAGGGCACCAGATATGGAGGCCCCATCCCAAGAGCATGGGAGGAGCCTGAGCACCAAGATCTGTGACAAGCTCCAGGCGGGCCAGGGTGGGGCTGGAGCTCCTGCACCAGCTGCCTCCCAGATCAATCATCAGGCAGCACAGGAGCCACTGGTACGGGTCCCCTGGTTCTTGGGGGAAGCGCGTACAACTCAGCAATGGAAACCCACCACAGGTGTGGCTGAGAGGCCGAGGCCTTGGGGAGAGACAGAGAAGGCGGCAGGCGTCTCTGGCATGCGCCCAGCTGCTCACGGAGCCAACCTTTATCGTGGACTGTGGGTCCCTGCTGTTGGCCTTGGCTGGGCATGCAGGATGGGTGGAGGGATTAGCTGTGACCCCCCAGTTACTGGTTCGGCTGCCAACCAGGACCTTCGAACATGCCCCCTGTGAAGGAATGAGACCTGTTCACCTCGTTCCGTTTCCTCCTCTGTGGTCTGCAGAACGGTGTCTTGGCTGTGGCAGTGGCGCCTGCTCATCCTCAGCTGAGAATACAGTGGACGTCTGTTGGCCAGCGCTAGCTTCCACAGGGAAGTCCCCTCGGCTGCTCTTCCCAGACGACGCCCGTCCCTCAGGCCCCACCCCAAAGCCTCCTCTCAGCCTCATTCTCTGAGTTCCCAAGTCCCTCTGCCTCCCAGCTGGATCCCGCAGCAGGCCAACGGTCTCTTGTGTCCGTGGGTGACAGGAGAGGTCCCGCCCTCGTGGAGTAAACCTGAGCATTTCCCTCTGTGTTCCACAGGCTGGGAATGCACAGCACCCTGCTTTCCTAAGCAGAGGACCCTAGGGTGGCAGGTCTGGGAGCGAGTCAGGACTTCTGTGGCCGCAGCACCCTGGCCTGGTCCTCATCCAGGATAAGCGGGGATGGGAACACCTGGCCTTGCAGGTGCACTTCCAAGCCCTGGAAATGAGCGAGTCACTGTAGCCAAATGTCCACCTCTGGGCTACCCACAGCCCTTCCAGCTGCACCAAGGAACCACAGCCCAGGGTAGGATCCCAGTTCTGCCTGGAGTCAGGGACGGGCACATTTAGGAAAGCTTCCAGGAGTAAGGATGAATGCACATCCTAAGGCCACCCAAGACCCCAGGCCAGCATGAGACCCTCCCAACAAACTCAGGCCTGACCTGACCCAAGTGGCACAGAGCCAGGCCCAGTCAGAGGGTCAGCAGAGAGCTGGTGTTCCTCCCTTAACAGGGCTCCCACAGAAGCCTGACTGGCCCCTGCCTCATACCCTCCCAGAACCTACAAAGGCCTCTGGACACGTCATCCCACCTCACCCCACATCCTGGAATATCCTCTGCAACTTAAGGGACCATTTACCCTGTTGGTAAACTGAGGCAGAGCTGTGACTTCTTCACCCCAGCCCAGACAGTATTCCTGTGATTCATGCAAGCCTGACCCAGAAAAACCCCAGACAAGGATGGGCACCTACCTCTCCAGAGTAAGATACCAAGGGTGATATCTCACAGATGGCCGGAGGATCTCCATTTTGGGGCAAGCTAGAGGGAGTCCACTTGTCAGCATCTGCCTTGGGGGTGCATGTCCTGGGCTCTCCCCCCAGCCCCCTAACAAGAGGTGGCCCAGTGCCCAGCCCAGCAGGCCTACCTCCACACACCTGGCTCCTGCAACCCCTTTCTCTGGACACCCCAAACCCTGAGCAAACTTTCCCCTGCTGAGTGACAAATCCTGATTTAGGGTAGAAGGCACCCTCACAGGCATTGCATGCAGGGCCCGGGCAGATAAACTTAGGTGGTGGCTACACACAATTGGGAAGACAAAAATCAAATGTACTTTTCTTTCCCAGCCCTGAAAGAAACTGCCCTGCTGTCTTCTCAATGGCATGCCCAGGTCTCAGTTTCAAAGCTTACGAATAAGCTGGGGAGGGCTAAATCCCCAGCATCCCCCAGAACCCTGAGCAGAAATTGAGGAGTTAGGCCAAGTGGCTGAACCAGTGGTCACTGTGCCACCTGGGGCTGGCTGGCACATGGCCACCTGCACTTGGTATGGTGCTCGGACAGCAGCAGAGCCAGCATGGCCCTGGGGCTAAGGACTGGGCCCTGACACCGCTCCCCACTTCGGGCTGCACCCTAGGGCCCACGCTCACCAGGGCAGCTCGGGAAGCTGGGCCCCATCTGCATCCAGGAAGCGGGCCCCAGCCTGCAGAGCCCACTGGTAGTGCTGAGCCAGCAGCGCCCGCCGCGCGGTGGAGGGGTTGTCCCTGTCAGCCGAACTGGCGTTCTTTAGCGGGGAGAACTCCTCCTCCCGTAGCACTTCAAAAGCAACAAAGTTCCTGGTGGGGAAAAGGGCTGCTTATCCCACGTCCCAGCCCAGAGGCCCTGGTGTGGGCAGGCGAGGGCTGGGCGGAGTTGACCGTGACTGACCGGGTCTGTTCCCACGAGCAGCAGGCTGAGGAGGCCCCACAGGCACTGACCGAGTTTTTGCTCCTGAGATCCCAGGGATGCCTCAAGCTCTCCCTCCCACTCCCATCTGCCAAAGGCGCAGACCCTGGGACCCCAGAGTGAGGGCCAAATGCCCTGCGAGCCATCCCAGCAACCTGGCCTGGAAACACCTCCTAACCCTGGGTGAGGCCAACGAAGGGAGGGCCCAGGAGGTGGAACCACTGTCCCCCGAGAACTCAGCTGCCCCGACGGTCCCTACGCTCCCAGCCCCGCACGGCATGGGGACTTCCTCTTGGGGCAAGTACCCTCTGGACTTCTCCCGAGACCTGCCTGCAGCCCTCCAGTCCCCTCGGTACCCTCACTGAGCCGCCACCTCCCTTCCCGGCTGGGCCTCACAACCCACCACCAAAACGGAGAGAGAAGGAAAAACAAATGACTTCTGCCACTGACTCAGCAAACCGGAGCGCGTCAAACACAAACTTCTCCATCTTAATCCCATTCGGCTTTAGCGGCTTTACCAGATTTCCCTCCTCATCCACGTACGGGACCTTCTTCACAGCCACATGTGGCTCCAGCAAGGGCTCAAACTCCCTGGGGGGCAGGAGGGCAAAAAGCGGGAAAGTCGCAGTTCAGAGAGGACACCCCTGGGAACTCCGTCCCCACCTCTGGGCACACCCGGCCGGGGGGGGGCAGGCTGGCAGATGGATACCACAGGGCACAGAAGCAGCAGGAACCGAGCCAGACCCCTGGGGAAGCACAGGTCTTTTCCCTGCACCCCCAGTGCGCCAGATGCCATCGGCCACATCCCTGCCCAGGTTAACAGAAACTGGCAAGCCATGGGCAGAGGTGGCACCTGTGGGCAACGGGGCAGTACCACAGACAGGGCAGGCAGACCTGACTACAGAGCCTTCTACCAGCTGCTCACAGGTCACAGCTCACATCGCACCTCCAGTGCCTCTGGCTTGTTTAAACGAGAGAAGCTTTCTCCACCCCAACCCATCAACCACTTGCCACCGCAGCCCAGCTGAGCCCAGCCTCCATGCTGCAGCTACTTGCCACCGCAGCCCAGCCGAGCCCAGCCTCCATGCTGCAGCCCAGAGGCCTCACTCAGCCTGGCCTGGTCCTAGCAGTCCTTGGTCAGCGCAGATTGCTCTAGCTAGGCTCCAGGCACTTGCCACCGCAGCCCAGCTGAGCCCAGCCTCCATGCTGCAGCCCAGAGGCCTCAGCCTGGCCTGGTCCTAGCAGTCCTTGGTCAGCGCAGATTGCTCTAGCTAGGCTCCAGGGCCACCTGTGCCCACACCTGGTCACCCTCTGGAGGAAGCCTCTGGTGAAGAAGTGGTTGCAGATGTTGGCAGTGCAGTAGAGAAGGCCCCCGTCGGGGGCGCGCAGCCCCGCTGTCTCAGGGCTTATCTCGCTGTACTCCACCACCTGGGGCACACCGTCCACCTGGCACACCACGCCCACGGGCTCCTCTGGGTATGCCTTTTCTACCACCTGCAGCCGCGACAGGGGGTGGGCACGGAGGGCTGGGCGTGGTGGGGCTGGGCAGAGGGGGTGGGTCAGGTCGGGTCAGGGAGCTCACCTTGGCGCCACAGTCAGCACCCTGCAGCACACAGAAGCCTATGAAGACGGGGTCGGCCAGCCGCACCAAGATATTATCCACGCAATACACGTGCACAAACTCCACTCCACGGTGCTCCATGTCCTCCAGGATCTGGTGGTCCGCCAATGCGCAGTACAGGCCCCCGTTGCCATCTGCGGAGGAAGAAAGGAACCAGCCCCAGCCTGCTAGTCCCAGGGAAGCCCCGACCTCCTGCCTAAGGCAGTTCCCGGTCAACATCCAAAAAATCCCATGGTTGCGCCAGTCAACAGATGGGCATCAAGGCCCAGAGAGGGGAGGCAACTTGCCTAGGACCACACAGCTTCCCCGCAGCATTCTGAACTCTGACCCAGGCCTCCTGACCTTCACTCCGACTTCTAGGCTCGGCCGTCCCTCCCTGTCTCAGGGGTGGGCCTTACCTGGGGCCATGGCAACTTTGTCTTTCCGCTCCAGGATGGCCCTGCCATCGAAGGTCACCGCAGGCAGCATGCGCTGCTCAAACATGACCACGTTGGCGGGGTCTAGGTGGAAGAAGTCGTGCTCCTTGAAGAAGGCGGCTGTGGGCCCCAGGGTGAACTCGCTGGTCATGATGTACCTGCGGGGAGGCAGGGGTGAGCCGGCCTCCGGGGGCCCTGGGCCCTCAGGAGGTGGGGATCAGAGTGGTCCCACCCACCGGGGCCGGGTCAGGCCTCAGTCTGGGTGCATGCTGGCCTCTGTCCAGGACTGGGGCTGGGGCTCAGGCCTTGGCGTGGGCCAGGCCTGGGGCCACAGGAGGAGGGGTCATTCTGGGGCCCAGGTAGGGCAGGGAGCACACACCAGGGCACGGTGCAGCTGGTCCCGTGGCGCTCGCTGGCCAGTTGCTCCACCCGCCGAATCCGCTCCGCCTGCAGCTGGTACAGGGTCTTCCGGCTGGGCAGCCCCACACGATACATGCCCTTGGGGTAGGTCACGCCCAGGCGAGTGCCTTGCCCGCCGGCCAGCAGCAGGACGGCCACCTTGTTCAGGGCAATCTGGCGGAAACCTGCGGCAAGGGGCGCTATGAGGGGACGCCTTGGACTGGACACCCAACGGCCACGTCCCTCAAGAGCGAGCCACACCTGGGCCTGGTAGGGCCAACTGAGCTCCAAGCCCAAGCTCTTCCCCACCCCACTCTGCGCCCGACCCCTTCCGGCCCGCAAGGGGCGCCGCGTCACCCGGACCCCGGCCCGCCCACCTTCCTCCTCCCAGCGCCGCCGCGTCTCGGGGTCGCAGCGGCTCCCGCTGCCCACGCGCTCCC